TTCCTCTTGCACACGAACAACCAGCTCGCCATTGGCCTCTTGTTTGACAAGCCGTCCGCTCCTCCGAGCAAGCTTGGTCGAGGCCCTCCCTGTGCACGTTGTTCCTTCATCCAAGTGCCCCATCCACGCCGTTTGCTTGCTTAAAGTCAAACCCAAGCCAAGACACCCCGCCCGCCCCCGGCTTGACCAGCCCACCTCACACCTTGCCAACCGCCCTCGCCATCGACTGGCATTTTGCGTGCGCGACGGTCCCGAGCCCGCGCCGCCCGTTCCAACCCCTCAGCCGTATCCCAATCTCTTGGCCCTGGCGCCCTTTCATCTCTTCTATTGCCCGACCGCTTGAAACCTCCCTTCCCTCTCCTGGCTCCCCCGCCCCCACGCGCGTTTCCGCCGTCAATCGTTTGCCATGGCACTTCAGTCCAGCGGCAGCGCCATGCGCATGATCCACGCCCCGAGCGCCCTTGATCACCAGAAACCCCCGGGTCTGAACCACAGCAGCGCTCTCAAGCCTGCCGGCAACGCGTCAAGCGAAGAGCTGGCCCTCGACCTTGGCGTGGAATTGCGTCAACAAGCCTCCCAGCCAAAACCCCGCCACCCAAATGAGTCCGCTCCGGCTCATCAAAAAACCAACCCCACTGCCCCCGCCACCTCGGCCCGCTACTTAGCCCCTCCCAACGGCAGCCTTCTCCGCGCTCATGGCTCTTTTGAAGAGGCCGAGCTCGACGCCCTCCTCCACCAGCCCATGAGCGCCTTGCCACTCGGCCCGGACGATGCCGACGATGACGCCTTTGAGCACGACGAGCAGAACATCAACCTCATCACGCCCCAAGTCCCCATTTCCCCTGAGGAAGAGCGTGCCCAAATGCTTGCACGCATCCAGAAGCAGGTCAACTTTTATTATGGCGACCGCAACTACCCCACTGACAAGTTTCTCCGAAAGCACACCAAGGCCCACCCAGACGGCTGGGTACCCATCGCCACCCTAGCCGCATACAAGAAGATGAAGAAGCTCACCCAAGACATTGACCTCATCGCCGAAGCGCTTGAGGACGTCGACATTGTCGAACTGTCCCCCGATCGTCTCAACGTCCGCCGCTGTGCCCCTCCGGTCAAGTCAGACGCCGCCTCCATCTGCTCCACCACCGTCGTCGCTACAGGCTTTGATGGTACTTGGATCGACCTCTCGCGTCACTTGGCCCACTTTGGCCACATTGTTCGCGCCCGTCGCCTCCAACCGGAGGACCCCCTGCCCGCCGAAGTCCACGAGGTGTGCCCCAACGAGCACCTCCTTCCCGCGAGCCTTCGCCAGCGCACGGGTCCCATCTGGCTCGTGGAATACGACTACGCGGACGAGGCCATGGATGCCGTCATTGCCATGGAGGGCCGTCGTGACCTGCAAATTGGAGTCTTGTACAAAAAGCCCCGCAAGAAACAAATTCGGCTCGGCACTTGCCCCTCCCCGACTGCCCTCATGATGGTTTCCTCGGGCAGCCGCTCCCAAACGGCCTCGCCCGTGCCACGCAGCCGCTTTAACAGCACCGGCCCCCGACGTGACGGTCGTGACCACAGCCACGACGGTGCACACAACGTTCCCCACCTCCAACAATTTGTTGCCCGCCAAGAAGATGACTTTCGTCGGCGTGCCCAATCACTCGAAAGCCAGCAAGTGCGCCGCCCCATGCCCACCGACCAGCGCCCTCGCACCCAGAGCACCAACGCTCGTCGCTATGTGCCTCCCCACGCACGTGGTTCAGAATCCCCCACCGCGCATCGGCGTCAACCCGCCAATGCCGGATCCACCTGGGCCCCGCGCCATGGGCCTTCAGCCCTTCAGCGCCAAGCTGGCCCGCAAGCTCCAATCCCTGCCCGGGCCCCGAGCCCTCAGGGTCTTGCACTCACCTCCCATCGCCCCACCAACAACTCAGCCGCCCCACAATCTGACGGCTTTGCATTGGCGCCGGGCCACGAAATTACCCAACAACGCCGCCATTCCAATTGGCGCGAGGTCATGACGCCGGAGCAATTGGCCGCGTTGGGTACTCCCATCTGATTTTTCCTTCCTTGACCTTTACAAACAAACCTTGAACCCTCCCTTCCAAAAGCAAGATAGCAAGAGTTTATTTTTTCTTTTTCTTACTCCGTCCCATGATTGCCCAATGCCCTGTGATTTTGGGCAACTTCACCTTCACCTTCGTTTCCTGTTGTCCGCGTCGGACGTTTTGTGCACGTCGGACTCATGAGCGTTTAAGAGTCAAAACGCCAAGAGGTCCTTTGCTGGTGCAGTGCTTGGAGCACTTTGTCCACCCTGCACATTATGACCGGTGTCCCAGATTATTTGTTCGCAGTGTTATTTCACCCAGGTGCTGTGGTCAGATCTCAGCGCGCTTCCAAGGCGTTGTGTTGACTTTGCTCCTGAATATTTTTGTTGCTTGTTTGTGTGTACGGCATGAATGGCATGGATTCCCCCCAACCCTTTTTTTGATTTTCGGGCGGTCATCCGGGCAAGAAGAGCTCTGGACTGCCCAACTCCCTATTATTTCTTACACGGCTGGGCTGGACACAAGCTTGAGCTTCTGTCCAAACGACCCTTGTGGTGACCAGCCAACAAATTGATCGAGACTTGTAGATCCGGGCAGTATCTAAGAGTCTTGCATGCGCATGGGTGTATGAAAGCCTCATGAGATCGGTGAGTATGGGCTGGTGAAAAGGGACGCCAGATTTGCTACAACGTCATGACGGTATTCTTTTCTCTATTGGCGACAGCGCACCAGTGCGGTGGCGCAATCTCTCCACCAACGACCCCAACAATTCACCAATGAATCAGATACTTGGGCGCCCGGTGGAGGAAATTCAATCACAAGGAAAGCACGAGGGGCGGAAAGAGTGTGCGGCGCTGCCGCAAATCCATGTTTGTCACTCAGCCGCATCGCGCAAAGATGGACGACACAGGAACTGAACTGGCATCGAGTAGCGACTCGTTCCAAGAACAGCAACAACAAAAATAAGACCAAAAGACAACAGCCACAACACAAAAAAGCAAAAAAACAACAACCCCAAGTCACACCGAGTCTACCACGGAAAGAAGAAAAAGGAAGCCAGATCGGAAATAAGTCCACGGCCCAAAGGTTTGAGCCAACGGTGGGAGGACGGCATAGCATGGCGAGTGTGTGCGCAGTGCGGTTCAGGGATGCAAGGGTCGAACACAACAGGAGCCACCGAGGAAGGGGTGGGTACAAGGGGGTGGGGACAAGGAGGTGGTCGCTGGCACTGCGGGGCAATGAACCCACAGCGATTTAATCATCCTTGATAAAGCTAATGACGTTGCCAAAGTGGGAGCGGACGTCGAGCCAGAGGTCGTCCAGGGCGGTGAGCAGGGTCAAGCCGACGGGGGTAGCTTGTACGGCTGTTCGCAGCTGGGCACCCATGTCATCCACCAGGCCGGCGGCTGTGTTGAGCGAGCTGGGGGGTGGCGGGGAGAGCAGTTGGGGCATGGGAGATGATCCAAAGGCACCAATGTTTGTGTGTTCTGAACCAGATGGCCCCCTCACACCGCCGGTCGTAGCGGCGGGGAGGAGTTCTGATCGGTTTTGCAAGGTCCATTCGAGTCCCTTGAGAGCCTGTTGGAACCGCGGATTGGCCGGGTGAGGCGGGGACAGGGTGCCGTGTTGAGCCGCAAGCGTCTTTCACACACAGCGCGACATGAAGGTGTCACGGCATACACCTGACAGACCTTGTCGGCATTTTTGCTGTATCGTCGGATACCAAAGGCTTCTACCATGTTTGCAATGGGGACTTGCGAAGAGACCTGAGCGCTGCTGTCCAGGCGAGTGGTTCTGTCACAA